AGGTCTAGCCTGATCTTCATTCCTTGTAATTTTAATCCACTGGTTCTGGTCCTGCCCTTTGGGGAAATAAAAAAATAAATCCATTCCTTCTTTTGTGTAACAACACTTCAGATATTTCAAGACTGCTATCATATCTCCCCTCAGACAAATCTGCAAACTAAAACCCAGATCCTTTAACCATTCTTCATAGCGCTTGGTTTCTAGACCATTCACCATGGTAGCCCTCCTCTGAATTTGATCCAATTTGTCACTGTCTTTTTTGAATGGTGGTGCCTAGAATTAGAGCCAATACTCAAGTGGAGTTTCACCAGGGCGAAGCAGAGTAATTACTTCCTGTGATCTGGACTCTATACTCTTGTTAATTACCCCAAAATAGCATTTGTGTTTTTAGCAGCAACATGAAACCAGTAGCTCGCTTGACTATGGTTGCCAAGTTATATGGTACTACTGGGATCAAGACACCAAAATGTTCATTACAACACTATCAGTGTACACACCATAATGTCTGCTTCTCTTGTCGCATATCGTAGGTTAGGATCCAACCAGTACATCACTGATTTCACTTGTTCAAAGTTAAGGAACAGCAGGAATACCAGAAACAGGAAATAAAGTACACTCAAACCTAAAAGAAAATAATACATGTGGTGAATGGTATTTAAAGTACTGCTTACAAAAGCAATACACAAACATGCACAAGTAATGTTCATATGTATCGATGCCAGAAAAAAAGATTAAAATATGTTATTTTCTTAGTGCTTGTAAATTAAGCTTCTAGAATTTTTATACCAACTTTCAAGATCGCATATTTTCTTTTTTGTCTAGTTCTATATGTATTGCGAAAAAGAAAAAGAAAATAAGAAAGAAAAGGGAGCTTAACAAAAGGTATAGGAATGTGAATACTACTCTGATTATTTGTATAACTAATCAGTAATATAGCTTGCTCATAGTCCTCAAGCACATGACAATTCTGCTGGCTGCTACCCAACTGATTACCAAGGAGAGACTGAACAAGGTGAGAAGGGTCACATACAAGCATTTGGAAGGAAAGAAGTCAAGAGATATAACTCAGCTGTAGCTGTTTCATGTGCCTGAAGATTATGTTGTTTTGAAAGTAACTTGACACTCAGTAGGTCAAGTCCTGTTTTCCAAAGTATTTCTGGCACTCCTGGGAATTTCTCCCAGATTTTTTGGTAGGTGAAATAAGAAACCACTGCAAAATTCTCACTGAGGTGACAATAAAAGGAAGGCTTGCTCTGCCATCTCTCCATCTAACACTAGCCCCATATCATGTCCACTATCTTATTATCGCATGCCCAGAATTCCTTTTTCAGAAATCCAACATGCTCACATACAGTGGTGCTTAAACGTTTGTGAATCCTTTTGAATTTTCAATATTTCTGCATAAATATGACCTAAAATGTGACCTGTTCTTCACACAAGTCCTAAAACTAGATAAACTGTAATGAACAACTGTAGCACATTCTACATGGGGCTGCCCCTGAAGAGCATTTGGAAGCTTCAGCTGTTGCAAAATGCAGCAGCACAAGCAGCTAGGTGTGCTCCAAGAACTGCACATCACACCTCTGCTGTGCGAGCTACATTGGTTGCCACTTTGCCTCCAGGTCCAGCTTTGGACTGTTTTCCTCAATAAATAAATTAACAAGTATAAAGTTTTTGACTCATCTGTTTAACTGGGGTTTCTTTATCTAGTTTGAGGACTACTGTACAAACTGAAACCAAATGTGGACTACAGCAGCCCTCCCCAACCTGGTGCCCTCCAAATGTTACAGCCCTTAGCATTTTCCATACCAGTTAAGAATTTTGGGAGTTGCGATGCCAAAAATCAGTAGAGCAAGAAGGTTGGAATACCAAGTGGTCTGTGCTTACCAATGAAATATATAATTATTTAGAATTTCAGATTATTGTCAGAAGTTTTGCCTTTGCTGGCATTTCAGGGAATTTGGCAAGTGAGCAGGACAGACAGCTCTGTGTGTGTGTTTGTGTTTGTGTGTGCGCGTGCACATGCACATGCGTACGCATGTGTGGGTATGCTGATATCATACATTTGAATTGCCTACCAGGCTCCCCACTATATTCCTTTCATGATAAACTGAAGACCATGTCATTTCAATAGGCTTTAATCTGCTACCTCTAGTTTCTCTGGTATCAATTTAACATGTTAACATCCTAAAGTTATATTTAGGGACCCTTTCAGGATACAAAGTTCTTTGCAGGAGGCTTACAAGATAGAAAGAAGATAGGATTAGAACAAGTAAAAGCCGATAATGTTTAAGAGGTGTCTTAATTTAAAAAAAGAAAAGACCAGTTATAATCAAAACCATCAATGTATGAATTAGTCTACATTTTTTAACCCTTGCTACTCCTTGCTAGCTGTGTTTTTGATTTTAAATATTGGCTATATTGGGAACTTCCTTTAAACAGTAATTTTTCATATTTACACTTTAACAAATTATGTTCTGCTTTAAAGATTACATTGCATGCCATTCAGTGAACTTTTAGAAAAAAAGAATACAAGCAAATTATTACTGTAATCTATAAAAGTATTCAATAGAAATTTAATGTGTGAACACAGTATGTAAGTTCTATCACACTCTGAGCCTGCAAATTGTTTCTGATAAACTACTGGAAGAGTTTTACAGTTTGATTCCTTCCTTAAATTACCACGCTTCCTTATTATTTTTACTATCCTTCCTTAAATAGAGGTATTATCATCACCCTGTACACCAACCTGAATATTATTTTTTATAAAATGAACTATCTTATTGGCTTATTCTAAAACATTCCAGTTGGTTTTCTTAAGAATTTAAATGGGAAAATCTTTTTCACAATATCTGAACATTATAACATACCTTTGCAGTGACACAGAGAGCATAAAATATACTGGACTACAAAATGAATTGTTAAAAGGAGAAGACACCTAGAGACTATAATAATGGAAAATTATAACTTGAAAATGGCTTACCAAATACCATGCGCCATATTGCAGGGTGTGGACGGGTGAAAGGGCCTGTAAAAAGAAAAGCGTGATTACTGAAAATGAACTGATGGTTAAGCATTAAAATAATATATCTAAGATTAAGTCTCATCCTCACATCCTGTTTGCCTCAGTGCAAAGACACTTTACTAACCATTTTTCAGGGACATATCCTCATTATGTCACCCAATGTCATCTTCAGCCCACTACTGAGGTACCCTACGACAATCCTTGGTTGTTAAACTTTAGAAGTGATGTTTTCCTCCTTCTCTTCAAGTTTCCATGGCAATCTAGGATGCCTAGGCAAGGAATCTTCAGATGACAGACTTACAGACAATAACCTGTTCACCTACAACTGGCCAACCAACTGCTATGGGATCACTGCCTTCCTACCCGATTCCTGGTCACTGTACCCTTACTGCCATTTTGTCTTGGTTGTGCAGACGTTGGACAGCAAAATCCCACCATCCGATTCAATTAGCTGTCATTTCTCTCCTTCCCTTTCTCTTTTGGTGAGATAGGAACAAGAGCAATTATATTGAGCATGGGAGGGGGTAAATCGCAGCCAAGACAACCAAGAACAGTTTTATAGGGAGAAAAATTCAAGTTTGAATTTAGAAAGCTCAGTTCTGGGCTCCAATTCCTTCTGAATTTCCAGACGTCTAGGCAAATCCACAGATGGTTCCAATTAAGAGATGAGGAATTAAGATATATCTGCAACCAGAAGTGGCATATTTCCCTTGAAGCTGCTGATTTTGAATGGCTTAATATTTGACCTTGACTTCACTCTGAGAGGAACACTTATCACTCAATCTTCCATATCTTCCAGGAGACTGAGAACTTGATATTCCAACAGCAAAAAAGTAAACACACTTGTGGTTTCCCACCATCACCTCATTATATATTCTGGAAAGAAATTGGGGGGGGGGGTTCCGCCAGCAGGAAACACTGGGAATGTACTGCTTACCACCAACTGCTTTCAGTGTCTCGCGCTGAACAAACAAAAACAACAGTGCCCAGCCCATTCCTGAGACATAGTTAAGGAAGACTGTGGCAGCAACATAATTTATGCTGACATACCTTCCTCATGACTCCAGGATGGGTGGAAAGCATATTAAAGCAGCTGCCTGGACAAGCCCTTAGTTTGAAACTATGGCAAAATCTTAACAGCAAATTAAGGTTTTTACTAAAGCCACTAAAAAAATACTAAGCATATCCTTAGAATTTGTCAGAGACCTCTAAGAATTACTGTGGCAACTAAAATCCAAGCCTTTTGGATCTTGAGAATAATCATTAACAAGTTAGGATCTCATTCTCCTCCACAAAGGAGGCAAGAATCTGCAAGGAAGTGAATGTTCATCAGAGAGGATTGCAATGTAGAGGAGATAACCTCAGTAACACATTTAATTGCTGATCAGGATATACCATCAAAGAAACTTACTAACGAAGCATCTATAACTATACTGGGGTCCATATGCATAAGTTGAGGTAAGACATACACTAAAAGGATCCTGCATATATATATGCGAGCACCTCAGTATACACATACTATACTTCTTGGTATGCTTCATACAAAATGGTATCTTGTACAACTCTGTATACAGTCCCTAGCCAATATTTCCAGTGTTAAGAGATATGGCCAAGTTTACCAGTCTTATACTTGTTTCTATGAATGGCACATTAGCCTTCTGCAACCTAGTAGCTTCCATATATGTTTGGAATTCTGCTGGTTAAATTTTTTGGAAATTGCAATCCCAATGCATCTGGAGAATGCCAGACTGGGAAAGGCTGTGCCATATTTTACTTTTGCCAAAGTCATTCACTCACATGCTTGTGATAGTGCTACTTTTTTGATATAGTGGTCAGATTTTGACCTTGCTGTATCTAGGCATTAAGCTTGACTAAAGCCCACTAATTTTGTCCTATGGAACTCCATTAAAGCTCAGCTATCCTCTGTACACTTGGTCAGCATGATCACAGCTAAGGAATGTTGGAAATAAAACTTCTGTGACATCTGTAGGACACAGATTCTCTACTCCTCCTCCAAACATTCCATTTCTTTGTATGAAGAAAGGCTACTTATATTCTACAGTGGTTCTTAAAAATTTGTGAATTATTTAATTTTCAATATGTTTGCATAAATATGATTTATATCTTGCAATACCTTCAAGGATACAAGACAGCATGCATAGCAATCTCTCCTATTTTTCCCCAAAGCAATCATATGGAGGTAAGTTGCACTGGAATAAATTGGCTCAAAGTCACCCGGTGAGCTTCTATAACTGAGCGTGGACTTGAATCTGAGTCTCTCTGGTGCCAGTCCCAAACCTTAACACTTAGAGCATTACACTGGCTCTAGAACTGCATTTTCTGAGCAGATTAGAACCTGCTAAGAACTAGGGAGAAGGAACAAGCCACTACAAAGCAAAAACAACAAGGGTGGTTCTTTGCAAATTACTCAGCTATGACTCTCAGCAGGACTCAGAGACAAGGGCCTTTTGATGTGTTCATAGTATATACTAGCTGAAGGTTGAAATCCTTAACACATTTACTTAATAAACAAACAAACCCTTAGACACATTGGAACTAAACTGTGAGAAAATATAGGATTGTGCAGTAAAGGAAACAGCACTTTCATGTCAAGCTAATTTCATTATTGTTTGTTCCCTTGGGTTTAGATGTCTACTTTCAAGTCATTTTTAGAGGTTTAATTCTCTTTTATTTACTTTGTTCCAGTGATGCCATCAGATAGGAAAATCACCAAGAGATTGATGCTATTGACTGAAGGGCAAGGGAGTCAGATGAACCAGCTAAACTCCCAGTAAGCTGGACGTTAGATATCCAGGAGGATATCAAATACCATGCACATAGGCTGAATTTATATGGAAAATTGTTCCTCTTGGCTATAGACCTGAAATCAATACCTTTTAGAGATACCACCAAGATCAAATATAGATCCAGATTATATGGCCCAAAGTAGATTAATTTAAATTTTGGAAGAGTTTCTGACCTACAAATACCCTGAACTGCTGAAGGGACACATCTACTTATCTCTATCATCTTTCATTTAGATTTATTTATGTCTGCCATAATCAGGTAGCTGGTTTTGCAACATATATTTCAGAGCTCACCCTGTAAAAAGAGTGTTGTACAATTCCAACCAGACATGATTTAATAACCAACAATCTGAACAATACCTAATGCTTCTATAAACTCTCAGACACAGCTTTATCCTGAGGAAGTATTGCAAAGTGCTTATGCTACAATTTAATTACCAAGGCCAAGAATCACTAAAGTACCAACTATCATAGCAAGGGAACCCAGCCAATTGCAGAGGAATTGGAACAAGGGCACTTAAGAGCAGGTGCTTCCTGGTGAAGCACCATCTGGAATTCAGCCCGTTCCCAAGAATGACCGGTTATAGCTTTTGGTCAGAGAAAGCAATATACTGTGCTGGCACCATGTGTTTCTACCTTCCACTGCTTTTTTGGAAAAGAGCAGCAACCATCTGCTATAAAAAATAATGGCTGTACTGCTACCCATTCTCATACTAAACACCATGAGATCATATTTGTGATTCAAAGAAGAGCAGGAATTTTAAAATACTGAACAGCAGGTTCAGCTAAGCAAGATTTACTGAATGCATGTCCCTTCCAAATCTGAGCTCATGACTCAAAAGCCTTTTTCAGGCATTGTCCCAAACACATAAGGGCTAAAATTCGGGTCAAGTCTCCAACCACACGGAAAGTCATATGTGCATTCAAGCAAATGTGGAACTCTCCTGCTTGGTCCTGCCACTTAACACATTCAGGTTGGGGATATCAGGGAGCAGATCAAGTGCAGTCCAACAGGCTGGAAGAGGTTGGTATGCATGGCTCCATCCTCTGTTTTAGCATGATTCATTCAGGAGAACAAATGAACAGGATTTTTATTTAGTGATAATACATAAGCCCCAAAAGTATTAATCTTCCAAGAAGAACACAGGCCTTAAACAAATGTCTAATAAAAATAAAATAAAGTATAAAATAAAATATAGAAAAAGCTTCAGTTTTAATTCCTGTGAAACAGTAAGATTCATTCCTGAGTAAATATGTGTAAAATCAATCAATCTTTCCACGATCAATAGGAACTCGGCCTAAGTCTTAATTATAACCAAGGAACTGCTACAGTTCAACATTACTACATATACTTTATATGTAAAATGGCAATTGCTTAATCCTTAGAATTTTCAATATAGGCAAGAACTTTGCCCCATATTTTAATTTAGTGTAGAGGGTGTTTTTTGTCACATACAAACACTGAAGAATAAATGTGCCCCAACTGGAATCCTAAACATCTTTTCTTGGAGGAGGTGCCATAGATTTCAACAAGATTTCCTTTAAATATGCCTGCTGAACTCAACATTTAACTTCCTTGATTAATTGCCTCTACTCTCTTTTCAATCTGTGTTTATATGTGTGCATTTCTGTGTCTGTGTATTTTCTATTTCTGGGGGGGGGCGGGATCTGGAAATGAAAAACTTATTTAAAGTTGCACTTCACTGATGTTTCTGTTTAATGATACTTCAAATGAGCTTCTGGTGGGATGGAGTGGAAGGCAACATGCCAAATACTTTCTTAGCCAGGAAACACACTTTCTCTATCAACTTGCTCTAGAAGACCACAAAGAGCAGCTATATTAATGGAGGCTTTCTATTTATTGACCCACCTCTGACAGCAAGTAATTAGTTACATAATTATAACTGAGATATATTAACCAATGACAACAGGGAAATTCTATTTAGGAAATGATCTTGTTCATCTCCAAAAATATTACTTCATAATCAAACAGGATTATAGTAGGCAAGAAAAACATGATGTGTGACCCTTGAGTTTACATTACTGCCGTGTTCTGCAGCTTGGTCCTACTCCAAATGCCTTTACAGAAACCCTTTTCTAAGTGAATTAAGACCTGTTCAGGTGTAGCCAGTGTAGCCCCAGTAATCTCTTTTTTCTTTCAGCAGTGGCATCTACAGCCTTTGTGGGTACAACGGCACTGTGTTGTCTACCACCTGAGCCTGGATCCTCAAGTCCCCTGGACCATGTAGAAGCTAACACAGGTACCATTATACCCACTAAGGTGAGTCTGCTTCACTTGAATATCGGCAGGAAAAACAAAAAAGATATAACTGGAATGACAGAGTCTGAACATGGCTTCTAAAGAAACAACACTGGGAAATATACCTCTATCAAGCTATTCTCCAAGCTCAATCTAAGTAGTTCCAAGTCCCAGAGTAATTCTTAAAAGAACAGTGTGACCACAGTCCATAAAAATAATTATAGAAAATACAGTAAATTAATACTGATGAAAGTCACATGTAATAATGTTACTTACCATTGGGAAAAGCTAGAACACTGATGATTAGAAAGAAAAATATCACAGAGAGGATGCCTTTCCAAATATTATCTTCGGGGGTTGTATCATCTCTTTAAAGAAAAAAAAAAGATAAAAATGATGCTTAAAAGCAAAACACAAGATTAAAACATTGTTGTTCATCTCTGCTATAAAAAGTGCTTTTTAAACTATTTTCAAGCCCAGTAACTTGGTTTGCCTTTGTGTTAAGAAAGCAAAGCTAATCATACAATCAACATATTCATATTTTTCTAGTTCCCCAAAATTTACCACATTTGCTATTTAACTAATATGTAAAAAAATAAAGCATTGCTGGCCAAAATAAAGAATCAACTATCCAGTCTGGGATACAGATAACCTCTTTACCAACACCATGATCGGCCAATGCCTAAAAAGAAAATCCTTTATATTGCCCTCTTATTTCAGACAAAAGAAAACTGAAGCTATGTGTGTGTACTGAGTAGAAAGCGAGATTTAATATAGATAACTGTGACAAAGGATGGATTAGCTTTGTTAATGACTTTATTGTAGATAAGAGGATGCTCTTTCTCTCTGCCTCAGTTTAAAGGTATGGAAGATTATACTGGATAACTATCAGAGAGGCAATGACCACATTCTGATAACTTGAATCATGGTGCTAGTAGACATGAGTGAAAGTTGGAATAATTCATGTAAGTAATTCTATCCCAAAGTATGTACAACAGCAAGCAACAATATTCAAGCAAGGCAAATTCAATGAGATAATTGTAACACACAAGCTAGAATCAGGAGCAAACTGTCTTAAGAGTTGGTACCATAATGGTTGAGGCAAATGGAACTTAACCCCCTTAAGGCCAGTGGCAGGAAAATCCAAAAATCCAGCTCTGGTGCACTGGACAAATCTGCACATGTACAATTCTGCACATTTAAAAGTAACCCTTTCCTACATACTGGATGATATGTACTTACCCAAAAGATTGACCACACTGTTGTAAGAATCAGCCCTTCAGCACATGGAATTTTTTTAAATAATAATTTTATTAAAGTTTACAAATACAAAAATAAAAAATGAATACAAACTAAGAAGAATATAAAAATAAAAAATAAAAGGTGCAGAGAAAAAGAAAAAAATATAAAAAAAGGAAAAAAAGGAAAAAAGACATAAAAAGGAGTGGCTTCCCCCCCTCCAGATAAGTCTAAACAACTTCAGTACCTAACACCTTCCCTAATATTTCAATTTAAAAAATCTCTCCTTCACATATCTCATCCCTTAATAAACAAATTGTAAAAACGCCTTATTCAGTCCTAATCAGGAAAAGTCCATTAAGAGCTACCAGAAATAATTACATATATATTTTAACCTTAATCAAATAAATCCATTTAATATTCCAACTTATCACTATCTCTAATAAAGCAAAAGAAATCTCTCCCCATATCTTATCTGTTATATATAAACAAATCTTTAAAGCCTTGTCATTCGGTCCTAGTTAAAAAAAAGTTCCATTAAGAGCTGCCAGAAACCACAACATATATACCTTAATCCTGATCGAATAAATCCACTTTATATTGCTTCCATTTACTTTTAAAAAGCTAGTAGACATGAGTGAAAGCTGGAAAAAGACCTTTAATCCCTTCAAATAATGTCCCACAAGTTGATTTCTTATCATTTCTCTTTGTTTTCTTTCAGAAACTCCCTCGCTAGTTTAACACGTCTCTTTTGTAAATCCAAGATAAGAAAGCTTTCCAAGTCAGTCTTCAGATTTATTATTTGTATGTCCCTTTTAATTGTTAAGACATCAGCTGGTTTCATTTGCAAATCCAATGTGGCATCTTCTTCCATATCACTCTTGTAATCTAGCATTTTCAAGTCCATTTTCAGATCCACATTCAGATCAGCCTCAGTCTCTATTTTGTCCAGTAAAATCTGTTCCTCTTCTGTAGCCTGTGTTAAATCCATTTTTATAGTGACAGAGAATCTTAAGAATAATTTCTGGGTACATTGTTCCCAAATGTCCTTGATTTCTTCCAAAGTCAAATAATATTGCTCCATTGTATTAATAGGTCTCTTCTCCTTTAATTGTAATCTTTAGTTCTCTCTGGTTCCCTCTAGTCAGTCTTCAAAGTCCCCTTATCATATGTTTATTTTCCAATCAACAAAACTTTCTCATGGGAGGATTTCTTACAGTTAATTTCAAAATCTTCATATATATTTTTATAAAATTTTAAACAATCCCTCTAGTCAGTCTTCAAAGTCCCCTTATCATATGTTTATTTTCCAATCAACAAAACTTTCTCATGGGAGGATTTCTTACAGTTAATTTCAAAATCTTCATATATATTTTTATAAAATTTTAAACAACCCAAAGGAAATATTCTTTCAAGTCCATCTGGCCCCTTGACTTTCCAAACTCACTGTTCTAGTCCCCCTTTTGCTGTTTTTCAAAAGTAATTTTTTTTCTTTTTAATTCTTAAACCTACATGGAACTTCTTTCATCAGGGATAGAAGGAAACTCTCCCAGCATAATGAAACTTGCCCTTCTGA